TTTTCTAAAAAGTCTAAGTGAGTGCTTCTCAAACGACACGGATGAGACAGTGCGTCTCGTCCGGTCGGAGTATGTGCAATGTGTCAGTCTTTAGGATTGCAACAAGGTTGGCACCCGGCCAACAGCTTTTCAAACGGCCACCCGGGCCAACAACTTTTCAAACGGCCACCCGGGCCTAGCTGATCCCATCAGCTGCAGATTTTTCAAACATCGAACCCCTTTTCACAACAGCAATTTCACAAGCAGTAGTCAAACAAAACTACGCTAGGAATCACCTCACATCCGCCCATGACCGTGGGCACGGCTGTTCGAGCAGTTTGTTAACCTCTGCAGAGGGGGTACACTTTACCCACACGACATTACTAACCCGGATCACCCAGCCCGTGGGGATCAGCCACGTCGGGAGACCTCCAAGCTTTCATGACAAGGCATTTCGAAAGCCGATACAGGTTTACCATATGCCAACGAGAGGGGTCCCAGACCAACAACAGGTTAGGTCCCAGATCATACTGTGCCAGGAAGCCCAGGGGTCCTCCCCGACACCACCCCGGCGAATCCACATGTCTCTCGGCATCAAGGCTCCCCTGATAAGCTAGTTACTCAGCCAGGGGTGTCCCATTCCACCCATGTGGTCGTACTTGTCTTATGTTTGGATGAAATTCCAAGGAAATCGGTCCTTAAGTGCGAGAGCGGGAAACCGTACACCCGGTACGTTCCCCGGTCTGCGGTTCTGGAAATTCATTTAGTTCGCAAGCACCGACCCAGGTGTCGGGTTTTCCAAATCTTTCGTAAAACCCAAGTTTTACCCAAGTTGTTATTCAGAATATAAGTTTGAAGGCGTCCGTCGATACTCGCACAGGATGCACGAATATCAAGACGCAACTAGGTGGTTACAAGGGGACATGCTGTAACAATTAACAAGGAAAGGATCAAATGCAACAATTTAGGTAGGTCCGCCAATCTGCCTTGCAGACGGAACAATAGATTAAGTGCGATCCTATCAATGCATAATATTTTGCAAGCAATATAATTAGATTTCAAATATAGGCTCAAGATGTTCAAAGGTGGCTTGCCTTGCTCGAGATCTGGAGCTTGATCCTCGAAATCCTCGCACTGCGGGTCTTCGGGTTCCGGAACTACACGCGAAACGGAACAACTCAACAAACGGCGAAAATAAAGCCCTATTAATGACCTCTAAGCATGCCATTAGATAGATCTCGAGATTTGAGGAATTTTGGAAGTTGAACGGAGTCAAACGGATTTACGGGTGGGAAGATATTGAATTTCTAAGATTATTGGATTTTTGGTCTAACGGAAAAAGGATTTAATTAAATCCTTTTTGGAAAAGAAAAAGAAAAGAAAGGAGGGAGGAAATATAGACTTTTCTCGGGTGGCTAGGGTGCGGCCCAAGAGATTTGGGGCGGCTCGGCCGAGCTTAACGGACCGGCCGGCCCAAGACGGCCCAAGCGCGCGCGCGGGGGGGAGGGAGGAGAGAGAGGGAGCCGGTGGACCGGGTGGGACCCGCTTGTCAGCGGCTCGGCTCACCGTGCGGAGGGTGCGCACGGCGCACGCGCGCGGGTGGGGTTGGGACGCGGTGCACGCGCGCGGCTCGCGGTGGACGTGGATGCGGCGGGCCCACGCGCAGCCTCACGGCTCGCGGTGGAACGCGCGCACGGGGAGGGACCGACCGGGGTTGGCTCGACCCGGTCTAGGCTGAGCTGGCGCCGACGTGGCGCCTACGTGGCTGCCACGCAGGCCGGCGGGAGGTAGACGACGACCCGGCCGCGAATGGACGGCGGGTGGCGGCGGCGAGCGGCGGAGCGAACCACGGTGATACAGGCAAAAGCGAGCACACCGGGCGGTTGCACGGGACGAGGGGAGACGAGCCAACGGCTCGGATTCGCCGGAGGTTGCTCGACGGCGGCGGATTGCGGCGGCGGCAACCGGCGGCGAGGGAAGAGGGAAACGGCGATGAGGCCACGAGGGGCCGATTCCCGGCGGTGAGAGCATCTACGCGGCTTCGGGAACTCGACGCTAGCGTCGGATTGGGCGGAACTACGCCGAGCGAGGCCGGCGACGAGCGGGTGCTACGGAGCTCGGGCGGCGACGGCGGCGAGCACACGGCGAGCGACGGCAACAGTCGGGGCGGCGCCGGCTAACTACGGGGAGGCTACTCGAGCTACTACCGAAATCTAAGGGGAGGAGATGGAGCGAGGAGGAAGAACGGAGAGAGGCACTACCGTGCGGGTCGGGGCGCTGTGACGAGAGGCCGACGGCGCGGGAGTAATCTCTCCGGCCTCGGGCCGGGGAAGAGGAAGGAGAGGGCGCGGCCGGAGTCCTCTTCAGCGTCCTTGCTCGTGCCAGCTCCTCCGACACGCGCAACGACGATCGGCGACGGCGAAACAGAGGGCGGCAATGGCGCGGAGGCGAAAATGAGGGAGTTTGGAGGGGGAGGGCTTGGGCTTAAATGGACGGCAATGTCGGTTTGGGAGAGGGGAACCGACATTGGACGGTTAAGGCGCGAGCTGGCGCTCGGCGCTTGCAGCCAAAGCGGCGGCAGGAGGATGACGCCGGCGAGGAGGAAAAAGGGGAAAAGGAGGGGGAGAAAGGGGCTTGCCCCTTTGCCGATTCGGGAAAAAGAGGGGGAGGGGAACGGGAGCATCGCGGCAGAGGGAGGAGGGGCGCGGCTCCGTCCCTTGGCGGCTTGCGCGCGGAGGGGCGGGGGCCGGGCGATGACGACTGCGATGACGGCGGGGCGGTTTGGAGCGGAGCGGCGACACTGGCGACAGGCGCGTGCAGAGGCTAACGGCGGCGGCGACCGGGCGGTCGGCCACCACGGCACGCGCGCGCGGGAAGCAACGGGCGGCGTCCGCGCGGGCGCGCACACGCTGGCTCGCGAGGACGAGCGGCTGCGCGGCTGCGCGGCTGCAGGCGCGGCAGAGCGAGGGGAAAGGGAGGGGGCGCTCGGCGCGGCGGCTTACGCGCACGCGCGCGCGGCGTGTGGGCGAGGCTGAGCGGGGGAGCGGGGAGAGAGGCGCTCGGGGCGGCGGCTTACGCGCACGCGCGCGCGGCGTGCGGGCGAGGCTGAGCGGGGGAGGGGAGAGATGGGAGAGCGCGAGAGAGAGAGAGAGAGAGAGAGAGAGAGAGAGAGAGAGAGAGCGCCCGGGGAGAGAGGGGAAGATGGGCCGAGGGAAAATCGGCCCATCGACCCTGGGGGAGGCAAAATGGACTTTTGCGGAGGAATTTGATTTGGAGGGATTGGATTCGGAAATGAACTCGACGATAGATCGGGTATTGAGATCTTGAGATGGCACAGACACTAGACAACAAGCAAAGAAACAAATTTCGCAATTAGGGTTTTTAAGAGATAATTTTCCCGCTAGGCGCCACGACGGAACGGGCGCTACATACTAGTAGTTCCATGATCTACCATCAAATTCAACCATATACACTGTTGATTTTTTAAAATATATTTGACCGTTCGTCTTATTCAAATAAATTTATGTAATTATTAATTCTTTTCCTATTATTTGATTCGTGTTAAATATATTTTTATGTATACATATAGTTTAACATATTTCACAAAAAAATTTGAATGAGATGAATGGTCAAACATATTTAAAAAAATCAACGGCGTCAAATATTTAGGAATGGAGGGAGTACTATATTGCTAACATAATTTAAACAAAGCAAACCCCGATGGAAGGGTGTACAAAAACAAGCACACGAAATAAACCAAAAATTAGTTTAATATGAAATAGTTATCAAAAAATTTGAAAAAAAAATGACAGCATAGATTAATATGAAATATATCACTCCACAAATATGTAAGACCAAATTAAACTTCTATAAGTTGGAACAAAAAGAACAACATAAACTGAAAATAGTTATCGTATATTCGCAGCTATGCTGTTATTTTTGTTAGAACTTGTACAAGTTGAATTTTAACTAGTATGTTTATGGAATGATATATTTCATATTAATATATCTTGCCATTTTTTTTAAATTTTTTTATAACTATTTAGGTGGCATGTACGAAACGAGGGAATATCCCTGCGAGAGATGAAATCACTTTTTCCCGAAATAAACATACATTATTTTACCTCAAAAGTAAAAGAAATAAATATTCTCCCAGCGTGTGGGAGTCCATCATAGTGAGTGTTCAAGGTTCACTATTTCAATGTCAGTTTCTCAATTCTCCCGGCGTCAAATCCTTATTGGTCTGAATGAGAATGTCAATCCTTCTTGACCTGAAATGGATTTGTTGACCAACTCGAGAAAAACAGACCAAATACAAAAGGAAGCGGTCAGCAATGCTGCAAGTAACTCGCGTATAAAAACAAGACAAGAAACAATAAAGCTCTGTACCATGTATTTGCTCGGCCATAGTTATTCTCAGAACTCTTATGCACTAAATTTTAAAGCAAGCTCAAATTTAGATGCACAAGACAGCAGAAACACACAAGTAGCAGCCGCACAAACATTAAGATAGTGAAATGGCAAGTGGAGAAAAGAAACACAATACGGTCTGCAATGAAGTGCTGGATGCAGGGACGCCGGTGGGCGGACGACGCATCGCGCGCTGCCGCTGCCGGCCGGTCTCCCGTCGCCGCCGCGTTTATGGAAGTCGCGTCTCCGCGTGGCCTAACCCGCACCTGACATGGATTGGACCGGGCTCGTTGGGCCGGAGGAGAAGATGGTTTCGGTGGAATTTGAGGTCACCCACGATGTCCAGGATTTATTTACTTTTTTAAACCTTTTTTTTATCTAAGTGGCATAATGCTTGATATGTTTTTCCGTATAATAAAAATATAAGAATGGACAAAATACACACCACATTCAAATCCAGCTGCGCAACTTACAAGAAATAATATATCATGAACTACTTATAGCAACGAGACTCAAAGACAGAGGCTCTAGATAAACCTAACGTAACAACCACATATGTATGAATGGTTGTATCTTTAAAAGTCTAAATTAACAACCGAAAGAATTAATAGCTAGCACATCCTTGACTGATCATGGCACGTGATTAGCCCAGGAGCAAGCTGGTTGCATAGCTCTTCGTAGGTAGAGAAGAGCACCCTATCCTTGGCGCCGGTGCGATGCCGATTGGTGTGCGCGCAAAAATACTTGAGCTGATCAAGCATGCGCAAACCTAGTGTCTCCCCAAGCAGTAGGAACAACCAGTTGATACGCTCCTTCTCGGCGGCTATCACTGGACGCATGCATTTCTCATGGCCGCAATTGTCGCAGTTCGGCACGACGGGGTTCATCCACCGCGCCTGTGCGCGGTCATTCATATGTTGGTAATTTTGACGGAAGTAGTTGGACACCTCTTGAAACTTGGTGGCAATGTCGTATTTGATCATTTTGTGTGTGTCGCAGCGCCTGCACCGAGCCTCGCCTCGGATGGTTTTGATGTCACGGCGAGTGAGCTCGGCGAGAGAGTGGTGTTTGGCTGCTTCATTGGTAGCCCAAGGATATGGTGGATCTGGAGGAGCATTACCACCGTTGTTGTCGTTGCCGCCACCGTTCGGGACGTTCGGTGCGACGATGTTGCCAAGTGCCTCGTTGTCGTCACCACCGCCGATGCCGCTAGAGCTTGCCATGGACACATTGCTTTGACGTAGAGTCGAGGAAGATTGTTGATGGAGGTGTGATAGGCTTGATGATGACGTTGAAGTTCCAAGGAAATTGAAGCATGGGAATACCGGGACTGCACCGTTGGGGATCAAAGATCGGGAGGCCACACAGGCAGCCGTCGCCGGCCGCTCCTCGGTGGACGTCATCACTGTCGGAGCGCGAGAAGAGTCGTCGTCGTCGTTGACGCCGCCCGTGGTATCCCCGTAGACCACCGGAGCAAGCGACAGTTTCAGCCAGTTGTCGTCCTCGCCGCTGCCGTCGTCGTCCATGGCGGCCTTCCTCTTCTGTCCGGACGACGACGAGCCGGCTCCCTGCACCGCCGCCGCCGTCTTACGCATCCTTTCAAGTAGAAGTGACAGTCCTAAGTATTTTATGGGGAATTGGGCCTGCAACATTGGGACGCCATCAAGGATGGAGTCTAGATCAATGCTTGCACACTTGATTACCGCCACCTGCGATTTTTACATGTTTGTGACCAGTCATGTCGCACGTCCAAAATACACGAGAATATCGGTGAAGGCCGGGACATCCTCTCTAACAGGGTTTATAAAAACCACTGCGTCATCCGCGTACATGGAGATTCTGAGGCGAGCCGCTCTGCCTCTCATTCGGTGTATAATTGATCAAAGCAAATATCGGATCATTGTACTTTTTCTTCATATTTTTTACACCAGACAACATCGATCGCTTGTAATAAAGAAAGATTAAAATTCCAGCATCCACTGCCACAAAAAAGATTGACATCCATCTATGAAACGTAAAAGGCATTGTGTTTTTGGTAAGTTTTTGAATTTCGAACAGCTTTCATCTGTGCGCAGTCCCATTGTTGTTCTAGTGCACCCCATTGTTGTCTGTGTTTGTTGAGCTTTTGTTTTGTGCGTACAAAATAAAACGTTTGTATTGGGCTTTGATTAACCGAAATTTTTTTATATGATAATTAATAACCCATTAGTTAAATCTGAATTTTTTTAATATGATAATTAATAACCCATTAATTAAATCTCTGGTAAATGTATGTGCGTAATTAGGAAATTAGGATGGACGCTGTTTTTCGTAGCGTCCAGCTGTGAGACGCTATTCGGGAGAGTGCGGCTGTGTTTAGTTCACACCAAAATTAGAAGTTTGGTTAAAATTGAAATGATGTGATGAAAAAGTTGAAAGTTTATGTGTGTAGAAAATTTTGATGTGATGAAAAAGTTAGAAATTTAAATAACTTTAGTACTATAAACACGGCGATGTCTCCACGTAAGACCGATCATATATATAGGTGCACTCAAACCAGTTCGTCTCCACGTAAGACCGATCGGCTGCCGCATATGTGCCGCTTGCTCTCGCGATTGCATACTGGGGGACGCATCCTTGTCGCCGTAGGCCTCAGCATAGGCGATCGACACGTACGCTTGCCGTACACATCTGGCGCGACTAGCTTGCCCGCGGAGCCTCGCCGCGGGCTGCCGCCTACTGCTTTATCGTGATTTCATGACTACATCCATCTAGTCGCCTGCCCTGAAGTTCCTAATTAACGTTGCTTAATTTTACCTTTGATTTGCTTGCTTTATCAAGATAATTAAGCTTAATTAGATCAATCGTTCTGTCTGATGTAAGGACTCCAGTCTAGCTTAATTAGCATACACTCTCTTCATTTATAAAAGTTACACATATTACTTTTATCACCAAGAAAAAAAAATTAAATCATCTTAGATGTTATAAAATTAAGAAATAAATATAAACATGCAACTAATGAGTATTTAGATGAGTATTCAATTTATCTCTTCATTTAAATCTTAAATGTATTAAGTAAAAATAAAAACAACTTATTTAAAAAAATTTAAATGTGAAATATGTCTTAACTTTTATGGACGGATGGAATACGGCAGATGTAGAAAGTGGCAGCGGTTGTGGACACGGCACTAGCGTGGAACGGTGGCAGCTGTGGACTCCTCGTCACCACGGCGTGTGTTCGATCGTTGAGGCGGGCGTCGTCCCCGCGCATCGAGGAGGTGCCGCGCGCCGAGAATGAGGCATTCCTTTTTGCTTCTGCTCGTATGAGAGTGAGACCGAGGCGACCGGACGGCCGGGACAATTCGGCTCAATGATTTAAACCAATTATTTAATTAACTCATTGGTTATTAATTATTATGTTCAAAAAATTCAGTTTGATTAACAAACATGATAAAATAGGATATATGCGCTCTACATGACAACACGAGCTATATCCTAGGGTGAGGAATCCGGCTGAAATTCAGAAAACAGTACACACCTACATTCAAAATTCAAATTCAGTTGCACAACTTACAAATAATATAGAGAAATAATATATCGTGAAATACTTATAGAGACGAGACTAAAAGATAGAGACTCTAGATGAACCTAATATAACAACCACGGCATGGTTGCATCTTTAAAGTCTAAATTAACAACCGAAAAAATTAATAGCTAACGCATCCCCAACTGATCATGCCCCGTGATTAGCCCAGGAGCAAGTTGGTTGCATAGCTCTTCGTAGGTTGAGAAGAGCACCCTATCCTTGGCGCCGGTGCGATGCCGGTTGGTGTGCGCACAGAAATACTTGAGCTGATCAAGCGTGCACAAACCCAGTGTCTCTCCGAGCAGTAGGAACAACCAGTTGATACGTTCCTTCTCAGCGGCAATCACCGGACGCATGCATCTCTCATGGCCACAACTATCGCAGTTCGGCACGACGGGATTCATCCACCGCGCCTGCGCACGGTCATTCATATGCTGGTAGTTCTGGCGGAAGTAGTCGGACACCTCTCGAAACTTGGTGGCAATGTTGTAGACAATCATCTTGCGAGTGTCGCAGCGCCTGCACCGAGCTTCGCCATTGATGTTGATGATGTCGCGACGAGCGAGCTCGACGAGGGAGTGGTGTTTGGCCACTTCATTGGTAGCCCAAGGATACGGTGGATCCGGAAGAGCATTACCATCGTTCTTGTCGCCGCCGTTCATGACGTTCGGTGCCTCATCGTCGTCACCACCGCCGATGCCGCCGCTAGAGCTTGATGTGGACGCGTTGCTTTGACGTCGAGTCGAGGAAGATTGTTGATGGAGGTGCGATAGGCTTGATGATGACGTTGAAGTTCCAAGGAAATTGAAGCATGGGAATATCGGGACTGCACCGTTGGGGATCAAACCGGCGCGCGCCGATCCGGAGGCCACACCGGCGGCCGTCCCCGACCGCTCCTCCGTCGACGTCATCACTGCCGGAGCGCAAGAGGAGGAGTTGTTGTCGACGACGTCGCCCGTGGGATCCCCGTAGTCCACCGGAGCAAGCGACAGTTTCAGCCAGTTGTCGTCCTCCCCGCGGCCGTCGTCGTCCACGGCGGCCTTCCTCTTCTGTCCGGACGACGATGAGCCGGCCACTCCATTCGCCGCCGTCGCCGCCGCCCACGGTGGCGAGGACGCCTCCCTCCCCATGACGACAGAAGAGAGGCGCCGATCACTCCTCACTCGATCGATCGACGACCACGCGACGACGCGGCCGGCTTGACTACTCTCCGGCTCTCCGATGTTTGTTGGTTGTTGGTTGGTCGGGGCCGACTGCCGAGGAAATAGTAAGCCTTTCTGTTTCTTAATTTTGAGATTGGATGATGATGAGTATATATCGATGGAAACCGATCAACTGAACGATATACTCAATGCGATTCTCGGGCACCACGCGTTCGCACACCGCACAGAAAATTTTGCGCGTCTCTCTCGCTCGCTCGCTCTCAGCGCGTTAAACGGGACGTTCGCTCTGCCGATCAATAGGATGAGTACATGCGTGCGTGCTTCCCGGTCTGATCTTGTTAATTACTTGTTTTTTTCCATCTTATTGATTGATTATTGTTTTTTTTTCATCTAACTGCATGCATGCGTACTGCTTCCCGGTCTGATCTGTTTTTTTTTCTTCATCTTATTATTGTTTGATTTTTTTTCCGAAATGTTGCGAGGATATAACATATGGGTTGTAGATGGTGTGAACTGGAATATTGCATGCGTGCATGCAGATACGTAATTCGAGTTCACACATCCGGACACGGTCGTTTCGTCGTCGGTCCACGCAATGGGAATTCAGAGTATGGCAAAGGCAGGAGACCATGCGAATTGCAGGTTGGGATTTGGTCTGTTGGGGTCGTTGGGATTTCGATCGATTTAGTTGCATGCAGCCATGCAGGAAGCACAACTTAATTATCTTGTGCAACTCCAGATTTTTCTCGGAGACCGGGGCCGTGAGTCTCGCGGCCGGAGAGACAAGGCTCGTCGAGTAGGCCGCGCTCAAACGCGTCGACGGTCCAAGCTGCAAAGGAGAAGTCGAGGCATCGGCCTAGTAAAGCCCGTGAGCCCAAAGCCCAACGCTACTTCGCTGCAAAGTTAATCGCGTTTTCCTTTTCTTTTCCTGCCGTTGCAAAGGAACCTTGTTTCTTTTCTCTTTTTTTTTTCGAAACACAAAGAATAATTTACCGTAAATACTAACACTTGTGTTAAGTTTAAAAATTTGAACCCGGATGGGTAGGCTCCACCACATAACAAAATTTGAATTATTTATAATAAACCAGTAATTTGAAATTTTTTGGTCTATTCGGAATTTTTGAATTATTTTCATCTATCTTTTGCATATGGCAAACATACAATCCGTTGTTCATACCAAATCCGACTTTTCATATTTTTGTATTAGTGTAAAAACTATGAGAATCGAACATAAGCCTTCCATTGACATGTAAGCCCAATTTATGCATAGTCATTGCGCCTTGTTTTGGCAAATTGTGGGCTTGTTAAGTTTGTTGCTGAAATCATAAATTCATCATTTGTAAATAATTAATTTAGGAAAGATAATTATGTCAGTAGATACTTTGCATTTTTAGCCATCATGTATTAGGTGAAGGGAGATCATATATGTTTTTTTTATCAGAAATGAAGCACAAATAATCAACGGTTGTGATTTGCCGTGACTCTATAGAGCACCCTAAAATGGCTCTTCTAGTTTTCAAGGATCAGTCATTGCGCAACTCGTGCTCATGTTCTTCACTGGTTGAATCAGTTTGACTCATCATATCAGTAAACAAAAATTAAGCTCCAGCTCATGACATGAGCATCCGGACCGACCAAACACTTTGATATATATTCCATCATCCGAAATATGGCCCTCTTCTCACTAAACAATACTCTCCGGCTATTTGACTTTTTTTGTTCAGTGAACTTGAGTTCCATGGTGATGCCATTTTTTAAGTATTTGACTTTACAGTTTGCATGAACAGCCATTACATGCAGGTGCTACATGAGCTGTGGTCAGAAGTTTTTATATTGTGGAATTTGAACAGCAACATAGTGGTGATATCTATCTTCTGAGCATCCAATCCTCACCAAATCTTTCAAACAAGTCCATCGCCCAGACATTGCAACAATTCTTCACATCTTCAAGAGATCGTCTTATCTTAGCTAACCATGTTCATCTTCTGCTATTGGTCATGGTACTAGTTTGCATTAGTTCATACAGATAGCAATCAAAGTAGACAGTTGAGAGCACATTTGCATGTGGTTTCTTGAACGCAATTGCTGGTTCTAGATACCAGCATTTTCTTTTCTGTTCTTCTCAGTTTTCACATAGCAACTGGAAGCAGTTCAAATCACAGTTTTGATCTCAGAAAACAGCACGAACTTCGGAGCTAGTGCTCCAAGTACAGCAACAGGTACAAAGATTACTAGCTCTTCGCAGTGGCTCCAATGGAAGAGTAAACAAGCTGTTCCAAATTAAGCTTCAGTTCGCAGCCATTGCCTGAACTTGGACATGGTTTTCTGAAGGAAGTACAACAAGTGGATATAGGATATGCTTTTCTATCACGACCTCCGATGGCGGGTAAAACGCTGGTTTTGCCGACCATAGGGACTAAAGAAAGAACGGTTGTTTGGAACCGAGCCAAATTGTACTACTAAACTACAATTATCTCTGAAGTCTGAAGTAAACAAATGCATTCTGCAAGGTTGTTTCAGGTCGAACTATTAGCCTACTAGGGCCATTGGGTGCACGAGCAGTCACTTTAAAGGTCAGATATATAGCTTCTTTCTTGCTTATTCACCAGATCATTTACTTCATGCTTCGAAAAATACATTTTCTAAAAAAAAACTTTTTTTCTGCTGCATTGTTTAAACCACTTGTACCGAGTTATTTATTAACTTTATTTTTAAAGCATTTAATTTATTGATACAATCACATCGGGAATCTATTTCAATAGTTCATTCAATAATCTAAATTAAACAGAGCCTTCCTAGTTAAACGGCATTCCAAAATCCAAGATGATGTTGCAAAAGATAGAACTGACGGTAATTTTAGCATTTTTATGGACAGAGAGACCGTAGAAAATTGGAACATTTTATATCTGAACTGCCTTAGTCGCCTGGCAGAAATCTGCATGTTTAGTTGATAAGACTTAAAATCAAGCTCATCCAACTAATCGTCTGAGCAATTCTGATGATAAACAACAAAAAATAAGACTGGATGATATATCTGACAGATGTCTACTCACAATGAGCTGTGAGTTTCAAAAATCAAGACCGGTAGGCGTGTTATTTGCAAGTACCTTGAAGCTTCTCTCTGTTTTTGTTTTTCTGGAGTTGCCTGCTCAATCCACCTAATACTATTTGGACAGGTTTTTATATATTTTTTATCACAATTTAACGGCTCATTTTTCCTAGATTTTTTTGAGGGGCAGGCAAAGATTTTGCCTGTCAAGAGCTTTACTAGTTAAAAAAAATGAATATATGGATCCTTATTGGGGAAACAAATCTCTGTTCTGTCTCTATGTACCAATTTTGTAAGGAATTTACATGTTCACTACCCCAGTATTGTTGGAAGATGCATACCCTCTAAACCCTGAAATCTGGGAACTGGATAAATATAATATTAAATCTAGCTAGCCATTCTTAGATTCTAACCAGTATATTGTGCAAGACAAAAGTTGAAACACACATTTGAAGTGTGCATGCAGGTCATGCCTTTTCCTTTTCTTTAGAAAAAAATACGGAAGCTTTGCGGGTAGATTCGCTAAACAGAAATGGAGTGAATACATAGTTTGGATTGTATAAAAACGCTATCTGACAAAAATTCAGAGTTTTCATGAGTAGGAAATGTTGTTGGTCTTCTTCTCATGTACACATTGATAATGCTTTGTTCAGAGTTAATTCAGCTGTGAGCTTCCATGCAACAATGTCTGAACACATATGAGTATAATTTGTCTGTTTCAACACATGCATTAGCTTGATCCCAACATTTTTTTTATGAGAAGGTGCAAACTTGATTGCCAGATTCCAAATCATGCGTCATCAGCAGAGACAGAGAGAAATACCAGTAGACAGATTTTTTTTTCTCATTTTGCATTTCTGATTGAGAACAGAAGAACACGGGACAAGATCCAAGAACGTTGCCGGACACCAAGATACACGTACATCCTTGCCATTGTAGGACTTAGGAGTACCACAAACTCACAAAAAAAAAGAGAGAAGAAGAAGATGATCAAAACCGTCAGTAGATCTATCCCAAAACTATCCTATATACACCAAAGAATTTGTCAGGCCTACAATATTCCTAGAACCGAAAACTCAGATGAACAGAACCAAAGAGCAGTAGTAGCAGTTCAGAAACCATGCATCGCCAGGACGATGAACAGCAGCAGATTCAGACCATCATCATTCAGATCAGTCATGATAGCAGAGGAGCATGACGACGCATCGCCTGATGATGTAGAGCCTGGCCTTCTGCTCCCTCAGCATCCTGCTGAGCCCTCCTCCTCCTCCTCCTCCGGCCCTGTTCTTCCCATGGATCCTCAGCTTAACCATCCGTAACGAACGGAGAAGAAGAGAATCTAGCTAGCTAGGCAAAGGAAGAGCAAGAAGAAAGGCTCAATGTCACTAGTGCTGGATCTGCAGCTAGCTAGCTGCTGTTGTTTGGTGTGCCCAAGTGTGCATCATCTGGCCAGCTTATATAGTAGGCAAGCCTTCTCCTTCTTCTTCTTCAATTCTTCTACTACCTCATGCTCACCTACTTGTGCATATGATAATACTAAGCACCATCTTGGAGAAGGGCATATACCCCTTCTTGGAAGTGGGGAGCTGCCATCTCCAGGAAGCACATGCAAACGCATCCTGTGTCAAGTTGCACGAATTTTGATGACGGTATAGCTCCAGGGGACAATGCCTCCCGGGCCTGTAGACCAACGGTCCTGCTTGACATCGAATTGATTCCATGGTTAAGTATGGTGTAATGCCTAATTTGCTCCCTCTAGGATTCCTTCCCTGCTAAATATTCCTAACCTGCTACTCCACTAGTAGTAGTGGAGAGAGTAGTAGCTAGTTTTGACATGAGAATTTGATGATTTGATTCCATGGAGATGCGAAACAGCTAAGAGATAGAGGCCATTGCACCGTCGGCTGTAGTGTACACTGGCTCCTAATTCCGTCCCCAACTTGAAATATGGTATATGCAATATCTAACACAATAATGTTCCATAAGAAATTCAGTTCAGTGTCTTTTTTAACCCGTGTGTTAATCATTTCATCAGGCTATTAGTAGTATGGGCATATTAAGCCGTACAAACCATGTGTCTGAAAGGAATATATAGTAGTGTGGGATGCAATTAATATCATCTATGCACTAC